CCCAACATGGCCAACTGCCCCCAGGTAGTTAGTGAGCCTCGAGGGACCCCAACCCACGAGTTGACCCATGTCCCAATAGGTCCAGCATGGTCCTGTAGCCTTGAGATAGGGTTAGGGACATGCCTAAGGGAAGAATGATGGGGGAGCTGCATGGTGATGCTCCCCAAGCATTTAATCTCCATCCCCACAGCCCAGCAGATGAAGAAGGTGTCCATCAAGCACTGCCTTTGTCCCCAACCTCAGCACCATGAGGCACAGAGCTGGGTGCTGCTGTCTGTGGGGTCAGCAGAGCCATGGGCACGATGTAGGATCAGCTCCCATGTGGTCCCACACCTCCTTCTGAGGCCACCACTGCTGTCCTGCTGCTGCTTTGCTCAGCCCCACAGGATCCTTTGGGTGTCACTGCCACCACAAGGCCACCTCTGGGTCAAGTGACATCTGTAAAGGACAAGGGACCATCTGCATCTCCAGCTGAGGATAGATTGTGGCCTATGGACCACGGGGGCACTTGAGGTGGCAGTGCCACAGCCTGGGCCATCAGTGGTTGCTGTCACCATGCCATGGAGGACATCCCATATACCTCATGCAGCAGCTGCTGTAGAAACCCCACAATGATGCTGAGGCCCCTTTTTGGGGGTGGTCAGGGTGTCCCCAAATGGGCAGAGCCCCCTCCCATCCCCAGGTGTCCCCACTGGGGGTGGAGGAAGAAAGAGGGGAGAGAGAATAAAAGCACCAAACCCCCATCTTCTTTGCCCAAAACAGAGCTCGTTTATTAACGACCACCTCTCCAGCAACAGAGCCAGGAGGCTTCAAATAATAATAATTTAAAAAATTAAGAAAATACAACAGAAACAGCATCAAAGGGCTGGGAAAATCCAGGATGGGTAATAAATATGGGGAAGGGGCAATGGAGCGCCAGGGGAGGGGGGGGGTGGGTGAGGGAGCTGGTGCCAAGCTGCTGCCAGCAGTGATGCTGGGGACAGGGAGGGGTCACCGCTCCTCGTGTCCCATGCGTTAGTGACTTCATTTCCAGAAATTAACCCCAAATGATTAAAAAAAACCCCAAACCATTAAGAATCCATCGCCTGACCGCCATGAAGGGCCCAACAGGCAGAGCCCTGGTCATCCTGGTGCCACCGTAGTGGGGACATGGATCAGGGGGACAGCCCTTCCTTGTCCCAGGGACATTTCGGCTGCCATCGCCCCACGTGGTGCCCGGGGGTCGCGTGGTGCAGTGTCTGAGCCCCTCACCCTGCATCAGGGCTGGCCTCTGGTGGTGTCACATGGCAAGAGTGCTGTCCCCAAACCGGGCTGCGGAGGGGCTGCCCTGTGAGCAAAAGGCGATGTGATCATAGGGATGTGACGTCCATCTCCCTGCGTTTGGCCCCCATTGCCTCTGCCATCTAAATATCCCTTTTTGGTCACTTTTTGGTCACTCACATCTGATTCTTTATTTTTTTTTTCCCAATAAATGTTGAAGTTCTCACTGTGCTGGAGAGCCCCAGAACAGCCTGGGGACGAAGGGCTGTCCCCACACCCTCAATTGCAGAGCACTCACCGTCAGTGCCCTCATTAGGCTTCAGAGTTAACACCTCCCAATCCCAACACAGCATCGCACTGATTTCTCCAAGAAGGATCCCAAAAAGGTGACCACTCCCGGGCCCCCACTGACCACCGTGACCCCAACCCCAGGGTTGTCCCCAACCCACATCCTGTCTCCCAATCCCTCACCTCAGGGCGGCTGTCAGTGCTTTTCAGCCACGACGGCCTCGTGCTGGTGGGGAGAGGATCACCTCCAACACTTGGCTTCTGCTCGGGGATCCGGGACACCCGAAATCTGCATGGGGGCACTCTGTGAGCCCACCCCACCTTGGGGTATGGGGTGGACAAATGGGATTCCAACCCCCCCCCCAGCTCCATGTGCTCACCTTCCTATGGAGAGAATGGTGATCTCACCGGCGGGTCTGGTGGCTTTGGTGGCTGTGGGGGATGGCAGCACTTGGGGCCACTTCCTCTGGTTGCATCGGGTGCAGGGGGGGTCTGAAGGGGGAGCCGGGCCGTGCACTGTGTGCAGGTGCTGCTGGTGGCAGCAGGAGGGGGGAAACTGAGGCAGGAGGTGCAGCCTATGGGGGACAAGGAGTGACATGAGCCGTGTGGGGGTTCAGTGGGGCTGGAGGGACTCTGAGGGGTTTGGGGGGGAAGTCTCTCACTTGTAGACAGGTTTGCAACCCGCTGGTGCTGGCTGCATGCTCTGATGTTCCTTCAGCAGCTCCTCCAGCGCTGCAGCATTTTCTGGAGGTGGGGGGACAGAGAGAGTCACCAGGAGCCACCTGGGGTGGCAGAACCTTCCCTGGCCATTGGGGGGCCCCTTCCCCCTTCCCGGGGGGCTCCCGACCTTTCTTCTCTGTGATGAGGCGCACCAGGACCCCGATGGTGTCCTCATTGGCATCCTCAATCTGGTAGATGGAGCTGGGACCTGGGGACAGATGGAGAAGGCATGAAGAGAAGCAGCCACGGGGATGGGCTTGATGTTCTATGGCCATAGGGACAACGTGGGAGCAAGCAGATACCATGGGGATGAGCAGGATGCTCCAACCCTAGGGACAAGATAAGAGCAACCAGACACCCTTGGGGATGGGCCCCATGCTCTCCATGGGTTCCCATGCCCACCGTGGCCACAGGACACCACGGTGACCAGATGACATGGGGATGCTCCAACCACTGGGACAAGATGTGAGCGACCAGACGCCATGGGGATGGGCTCGAGCAGATGAAGTTGGCTTCAGGGTGGCGAAGCTGGGTCACGCCTCACACCAACCTCAAACCAACGTCATCACTGGGCCACATTCTGATCCCTTTATGGTCCCAAACCACTTGGGTTCAACGGCAACCAGAGGCAACCCCAGAATACTGGGTGCATGGGAGTGGGGCTCACCGCTGGTGTTGTGCTCGTGTTCCTTGTGTGCTGTGCAGTGGTAGCCCTTCTTCTTCAGCAGGTTGCACACCAGGATGCCCAGCAACCCCATGGCACAGAACACGGGGACGATGGCCAACACGGCCGACTGCGCCGCCGCCGCCTCCTCCGGTTGAAGCTCCCATGTCCCATTGGTCCCCGATGGTCCCCGAGGTGTCACCACGCTCCTGGCTCGCCGTTGGCCTGCAGTCAGGGTTGGATTTGGGAAAATCCCCCCCCATTGATGCCATGAGCACTAATCCTGCTTCAAATCCATCACTGGGTTATTTTGGCACTGAACCTTCCTCAGCTGGATTTGGCAGAGTTCTCCCATTGATGCCATGGGCATTGCTCCTATCCCACCCCAAATCCATCACTGGGTTATTTTGGCACCGAATCCTCCTCCTGTGATGGACTTGGCAGATTTTGCCCACTGGTGCCATGAGCATTGATCCTATGCTCACTCCATCATTTCAGTATTTCGGCACCACGTTCCCTCAGGCTGGATTTGGGGGATTTACCCCATCGGTGCCATCACAGCTCCTACCCCCACATCCATCACCATGTCATTTTGGCATCATATTCTCCTCCCAGGATGGATTTGGCAATGTTCCCCCATTGGTGCCCCAGTGCCACGCTCACTCCTTTACCGTGTTATTTCAGTACCACATTTCCCCCATGCTGGATTGTGGGGTTCCACCATTGGTGCCACGAGCACAACTCCTACCCCAAATCCATCACCGCATTATTTTGGCACTGAATCTTCCTGAGCTGGATTTGGCAGAGTTCTCCCATTGGCACCATAAACATTGAACCTATTCCACCCCAAATCCATCACCCCCACGCTCCAAAGCCCGCAGCTGACCGCGCCACCCCTCACCCACCTGTGCACCCCGGGGTGCCGTGGGGTGCAGCAGAGCAGGGCAGGCACCGGCCCTGGGGCTCCCTATGGCCATCAGGGCTGTAAAACCTGTGGGATACGGTGAGATGAGCACAGGGGTATCCATGCAAACCCCCCCACCTCCCCAGTGCACGGCACCCCATGCTCACCCGTGCAAGCAGGCGCACGGTGCATCCCCTGCAGAGGAAGAGCCAGGGGGACAGGGGCGGCAGCTCTGCGCTGTGCTGCACGTCTACAGGGAGGGAAAGAGGGTGGTGAAGGGGTGCAGGCTGCATGGCACAGGGTGGGGGCATCACCCACGGGCAGCACTCACCCCAATGGGTTCCTCTCCAGGTGGGCATCGCAGCAGCTCGCAGGCTGTGGTCCCCATGCAGGGGCTGCTCAGCACCTGGGGGAGAAGAGGGGTGTTCAGCGGGGTGCAGCAGGGGAGAATGCATTGCAAAGGACAGGATGCAAAGGCATTGTGAGGGACAGGGCAGGTGCAAACCCGTTGCGTGCATCGTGGTGGGCGCAATGCTGTCACAAGCAACGGGATGGAAGCAAAGCTTGCTGCATGTGCTGCTGGGAATGGGATGGAAGCAAGGCTTTATGGTGGGTGCAATCCCATCACAAGCAGTGCAAGGCTGCAAAAGCACTGCATGCGTCATGATGTGGGTGCAGATGCACAATGCAACGGGATGGATGCAGTGGGTTGGATGCTCCACTGTGGGTGCAAACTCGCAAGCAATGGGGTGGGTGCAAACTCATTGCACGTGCCGTGGTGGGTGCAAATAGGTCCCAGGCAATGGGAGGGATGCAAAACCACTGCATGCCCAACGGCAGGTGCAAATGCACCACAAGCAGTGGGACAACTGAAACGGGGTGGATGTAAACTCATTGCATGCACTACGGTAGGTGCAGACTGATCACGAGCAATGGGATGGGTGCAAACCCCCACTGCGTGCAGCATGGCGAGTGCAAACCTGTGGCAAGGAATGGGGGGGGCTGCAAAGCCCTTCCGTGCACTGCAGCTGATGCAAACCTGTCAGCAGCAAGAGGATGGCTGCAAGAACACCGCATGCACTGCAGCAGATGCACACCACCCCAGTTCTGCAGCAGCCCAGCAGATGCACAGCCATTGGAAACAACATTGGAACTGGGGCCACGTGGGGTGGAGGACAGTGGCAATCCCAGGATGGGAAAACCCCACGGGACACCCCCAGAGTAAAATGGGACATCTGGGGGGCATTTGGGGTTTTAGAATTGGAAGAACCGAGAAGAGACGTGCAGAGGGATGGGATGAGGCTGTACTCACCCCCAGGACAGCGAGGAGCCACCAGCACATCCCCAAGCTCTGCAGCCACCGGGGCCACCTGTGGGGACACGGCACAGGGAAACGGTGTCACTCCTCCCTGATTCCTGCACAGGGGACAGCAAGGGCTTTTGGGTCCGGGGCCCAAAAAGCCCACATAGGGGGACTTGGGAGGTTATCCACTAGCACAGCCTTTGCAAGGGAGCAGTCAGCTGGAAAATAACCCTGTGAGAGGGGAGGAATTGGGTTATTTCACAGCTGGAACGCTCTCCCCTGGCCCCATTTGCTGCAGCGCAGCCAAGCAGCACAGTTGGGTTTGGGATTACTTCCCAAGCCTTGAGGTTTTCCTTCTAAAAGGAGCAAAGCACCTTCACAACTAGAAAAAAACCCAACACTAAGCACCATTATAATTGAACAAAACAACCTCGTGGCCAAAAAGCCCCAATATTTTGCATCCTTACCCCAATATGTGGCACCCTTGTGCTAGAAAAAAACCCAACACCTTCAGGACCAAAACCTCCAATATTTTGCATCCTTACCCCAACATTTGCCATCCTTACAATAGACCAAAACACCCTTGCAACCAAAAAAAAACCCCAATATCTTACAGGAGCCCCTTTGGGAGCAGTGGAATCGCAGCCCACAGCGACTCAGCGCCCAAAGGAAACCCAATTTTAGCTCAGTAGGAATCCAGCACTCACACCTCCCATTTTAGGGCCGCTCACGCAATCCCACTCCCTTCCTGCAGAGGATTTGCTAAATCTGATGGCAGCTGAACACCAATTTCTCTCCCAGTGCCATCGGCTCCAGTGCCCCCAGCGCCATCGGTGCAGCTCAGTGCACTCCCTCCCGTCTCCTTGCATTTAATTGAAGGCAAATCATTAAAAGCTGATTGGAAGTTCCTCCAGGAATGGGGTGAAATCCTTGGTGAGGGCCCCCGTGTGTGCTCAGAAATTCATCAGGGTTGGCAAAATAAAACAGAACGGTGGAAAATCCCAACATCTAAATCAGCATTGCTGGGCTATCGTTGGGATGGCATGTGCACGCATAGGGGCAAACCCCCAAACCTCTGAGTTCTTCTACCTCCAGTGCTGCAAAGGAGAGAATTATCTGGGGGCTCAAATCTCTCTCCGTATCCCAGAATGCTTGGTTTTGCTTTGGGCAATGCTGTTGTTGTATCAGGCAACGCTCATCCAATGCTCTCAGGACCCCATCACTACGCCCAAAATCCTATTAAAGGCCTTTGAGTGCAGCTCTGCCCTTCTCTACACGTCCCAAAATCTGCTGGGACCGGAGGCACCGAAGCTCTGCGGGGGAAGGAACAGATGCTGCAAACCTTCAGCACGGATATTTCCTGCTCCGGAGCAAAATGATCGGCATCCTCCCCTGCACAGCACTGCCCAGCCCCAGAGCGTCACTGCAAAGAGAAATAAATGCATACACACACAATTAAAAATGTATTTCCAAGCAAGCAAAAAATAATAATAATAATAATAATTAGTCACCTCAACCCAAAGAGCCTTTCAGCCAACCTCGACCCAGTGAGCAGATTCTGCCAACACCGACCCGACCGATGGATCCCCTCTGCTGACACCACTGATGGATCCTTTCCACCAACCTCGACCCCATGTGAGGATCCTTTGGGCCAATCAAACGATGCGTCCTCTCTGCTGACAGTGACCCAATGATGGATCCTTCCTGCCAACCCAATGATGGATCCTTGCTGCCAACCCCGACCCAACAAGCGGCCCTTTCCACCAACCCCAACTCGACAACGGGCTCCCTTTGATGATGCCAACCCAAGTGGGTCCTCCCTGAGATGCCAACAAGGGATCCTTTCCACCAAGCCCAAGACAACAAGAGGGCCCGTCCCATCGACCCAACGCTGGGTCCTCTCCACCAGTGCCAACCCGATGAGCAGATCCAGTTCTTCTACCCAATGATGGATCCTTTCTGCCACCCTGATCCAACAAGCGGCCCTTTCCACCAACTCCAACCCAATGATGGCTTCTCTTTGATGATGCCAATTCAGCGAGCAGGTTCTTCTCTCCGATGATGTCAACCCAACCAGCTGGTCCTCTACAACAATGCCAACAAAGGATCCTTTCCACCAACCCTGACACAACAAGAGGGCCCGTCCCATCGACCCAACACTGGGTCCTCTCCACCAGCGCCAACCCGATGAGCAGATCCAGTTCTTCTACCCAATGATGGATCCTTTCTGCCAACCTCAACTCAACAAGCGGCCGTTCCGCCAACCCTGACACAATTATGACTTCTCTTTGACAACGCCAACCCAATGAGTGGGTTCTCCCTGATGGCGTCAACCCAAAAAGCAGATCCTCTCCGACGATGCCAATGATGGATCCTTTCCACCAACCCCAACACAATGAGAGGGTCCATTCCATCGACCCAACGCTGGGTCCTCTCCACCAATGCCAGCCCAACGTGCAGATCCTTTTCACCAACCCAACGATGGATCCTTTCTGACAACCCCGACCCAATTATGGGCTCTTTCTGACAACGCCAACCCAGCAAGCGGGTTCTCTCTGATGATGCTGACCCAGTGACGGGTCCTTCAACTGAATAAACCCAAAGACCAAAGCCTTTTTGGGGTGGGTGGCCCCCCGTAGCAACCCACTGCTAAAATGAACCAACAGCTTCACCACCCTGCAGGCACAACTCGTGTGCTGTGCGTGCTTGGGGATGGGTGGAAAAATAATTAAAGTCGATTCTGTCATGAAGTGGGAAATCCCTTGAATGCCCCTGGGTGTAGTGGGGCATCCCCATAAAGCTGCCCCACGTGACGCTGCTGATAAGGAGCCGTTATGTGCTGGAGTGGTTTATAAATTGAATGAATGAGCAATTAGCACGCAGCATCACTCATCTGGGATGCAGCTGCTGCGCGATGGGGGTGGCTACAGGCTGGTGTCAGGATGCGAGGGCACCAAGCTGTGCCCCAGTTCCTCCCAGTCACCATGGGGGCAGAAAGGAGGCTCGAGAGCAGCTCAAAGCTCGGAGACGGCAGCACACAGTCCCAGACTGACCTCAAACCTCAAATACCACAGACAGCCACAATTTGGGAAGGGAGAGGAAAAGCCAGGGACAGGAGCAGGCAGCAGCACGTGGTGCTGCAATGCAGATCCCCGTGCTGAGCACCCTCCGGTGACCCCTCACTGGTGCCATGTGTCCCAGCACCGGCAACAGCCTCATGTGGGGCTGTTAAATCCCCCCTGGGGAGACGTGTTTGGGGCTGTGTGGTGATGCCTATGGGATGGGGAGCGCTCATCCTGGGGTATTTGGGGTGCTACGAGGGGATTTGTGCACCCGCAGGGGATGGGATGGAGGGGATGAGGGGCACAACGGTGGGTGGGATAGGGGCAGGTCTGAGCATCAGCACTTATAAGTGATTGCCCCCTTCCCCCCTCAGCCCTGCCTGCTGGGATCTGGGGAGCATCCAGCTGGCCCCGTGCTTTTCATGCCGTCGTTCCAAAGCCAACAGACACAAAGAAGCTTGGAGAGTTCTGGCACTGGGGATATATTTGGAGGAGCTCTGAAAACTCCAGGAGCAGGACTGGCCCCAAAGGACCTTAGCCCCACTTCACAGAACCCCAGGGGTTGGAAGGGACCTCCAGAGATCATCGAGTCCAACTTCCCTGTCAAAGCAGGTTCCCTACACCAGGCTTCATATGGGGATGATGGGATGCCCCAAGTAGAAACCAATTATCCAGCCTCCCAATTGGCTGCTTGGTGGGGGACAACCCAACTTTTGCAAACCCCAGGATAGGATTTTTTTGTACCCCAAAATAAAACAAGCCCTTAAGGGCCCCCTCCCTTAACCCAGCCCACAAGCTAAGCGTGCCCACAGGGATTCAAGGCAGGGTTTCCCCTCCACATGCAGCTTAGGGTTTCAGCTGATTGCTCCCAGAGATAACAGAGAACAAGGAGCGACTGTATGGGGACACTTTGGGAACAGCAGCTTGGCCACCTGGGCAGCACAAGGGGGGATTGTCCAGCTGAAACCCAACGCCGTCACAACTCTGCCACCAAAATCCAACAGCACTGGGGCTGTGGGAACGAATAACAACCCTTCATTGACTTTCAGAACAGAGCCAAGCGATCCCAGAGGCACCGTAGTGCCAATCCCCAATTTGGGAAGCCACCCCCGCTCACAGCATCCCAGCAGTAGAGGGAACAGGGCTGAAAACGCTGCGATTTTCCACCGTCAGATTAAAGCAAGAGGGGAAGAAAAAAAACAACCAAACCCCAGCTCCTATTTTTCCAGATGGCCACCGTGGAGTTTTCCATAACCTACTTTCTCCACTCCTCTTCTGCCCTATATCCTCACCGCGGCTGCAGCCGGGAGGCCGCTTGGGGGGGGGGCATCTCCAGCTGCTGCCGCACACAGCGACACTTTGGGGACAAAGCTGAAGCAACAAATCCCCCCCCCACCTCCTCTAATTTGTATTATAGCTCCTCATAGACGCATCACCCGAGCCCTCCAACCCCCCCCCAAATAATCAACCCCAGATCAACCCGGATAAGAAACGTCACCCCTTACCTGTCCCCACCGCGGGGGTGACGCGGGGGTGACACCAACGCGGTTCCCACGGGGGCGCCCCATTGAGGCTGGGCGGCCGCTCTTTATGAATGAACGCTCCGTCCCCCGCGGGCGCGCTACTCCCGCTAGCCACGCCCCCCTCCCTTGTGACGTCACAATGCGGGGCTTCCCCCATCCCCCTCCCCCCCGCCCATCCCGCGATGACGTCAGCGCCACGCTCGGAGGATTCCCCCGCCCCTCCCGCGCGCAGCGCCCCCTGCCGGCGGGTTTGGAGGGGAGGGGGAGATGGAGCGCCCCCCCAAAGGGGTTTTTTGGGGGCAAAACAGAGGAAAAAAGTGAAATCCTGGCGTGGGAGGCGCTGCAGAGAGAGTTGGGAAAGATAGGATTTCTTTTGCCTTGCGTGGAGTCTCTGTGAGGGCACCCCGGGGTGCTTGCAGCCCGTTGTTTGCAGTGCTGAATGTCACCCTGTCCCCAAATCCCTCGGGGAAGCTGTGCCGTGACGGGGACACTGCGCCGAGCCCCTCGGTGGGTCCGGATCTGCTTCCTTTGTCCCGGTGGTGTCCCCGTGGTGGCCACCTCTTGCATGTCCCCATCCTCACCCAATGTCCCCATCCTCACTCTGATGTCCCCACCCCATTGTCCCCATCCTCTTCCCAATGTCTCCACTCCAATGTCCCCATCCTCATTCCGATGTCCCCATCCTCACCCCAATGTCCCCACCCCAACATCTCATCCTC